ATTTCAAGTGCTTATTATATGCATCGGTGATCTATGTAAGCAAACAAGCAAAAACAAATAATGCATATCCCACTCTAAAAGAATTATGCACTTTCCGTTCAAAAGAAAAAGAATTATGCAGGGGCGGATCCAGGAATGAGGGGTGGGGTGGGCTAAGTAGTAAAAATTTTCGTTATTGCATACAAAAGGTTTAGCTTAGGACTGATAGTTATTGAACTGAGTTTTTTTTTGAACTACTCGAGTTCGATCGTGATTTCGAATTTAATTTAATGACCAAAGCTTAATGAGCTTCAATCTCGAACACGGGCTAAATTTTAGTTTAAATAGTTTGTTTTAAAAAAAAAAAAAGCGGCCGTTATTTTTTTGAGTTTGAATAGTTATTCAAACTGAATTCGAGCATAGTCATGTGCAGTTCGATGTGGACTCGAGCATATTCATAACTTACAAATTATAGAAATAAACTATATACTACCTCCGACCTTTATTAAGACTAATTTGACTTTTCAAGTCAAAGAAGTTAAACTCTGAATGACTATATATTTATACAATAAAATTGATAATATGAAAATGAAATGGAAATGTTCTTTGTTAAAAAGTTTATCATAAAAGTATAAGTTTAGTAAGTTTCACATTAATACATGAGTTAAAATGATGGATCTAAGTTTACCATCTTTGAGTAAAGAGTCAAAGATGGCTAAATAAAATGAGATAGAGGTAGCATATCTAAAATTTAAACGTTTTTAATGTGATTTATAATTTTATTATTGATTATTAAAGATTTTAGTATTTATTGATATGAATTAAAATACTTCTATAAAAGTATAAAACTAATAAGTAAAAATAGTCGATTTACATAAACTAATAAGTATTCCCAATTTTAAAATTGAATTGAGATTTTGAATCCATTCTTACATGCCTAAACAGTAAATACATCGTTCTCTATTCTTTAATTGCATTATAAATAAATCATTTTTCTAATCTTTAATTCTATCTTTAATCATTATAAATTTATAATAATAAATAAAAACTATTTTACTATCTACTGAAAAAATTCAATTAATACTCAAATAGAATTACAAAGTTGGTAGGCTTGGGCTGGGCTAGACATTAGTTTTGAGGTGGGCTGGAAATTAAACATATACCTATAATAATAAAAATAAATTGGGTTGGGCTGGGCTGGAGCCCACCCCTGCCCCAACATAGATCCGCCCATGGAATTATGCACTTCATTTCGGGTGAACGAAATACATAAAACCGGCAGCTTACAATAAAATTGTTACCATCTCGATCAGTGTCTCACCTAAGTCCGAAACGCACTCCGAAATCCAACTTCATTGTGTCCATCACTGTGTAAACCAAAACACAAGCTGGTTTTGAACACATTTCTAAATAATCGAACTCAATGTGAGAAAATAAATAAAAAATTAACACAACGACAACCCATTATTAATAGCTTACATTTGGTAGCTAAACTGGTATTACTTAATAGATCATCCTGTTTGAATAATTAAAATCAAACTCATAGGATGATCGTACCTTATAACCTCTGAAAAATCGATCTTTCCGTAAGTACGGAGTATATATTTTGGAATTAGTTTTAATTCAATCCTCCTTCATTAGTAACATTGAGGTTAGCTTTTTGATAGCCACTATTAATTACAATGAACATATTTATTCAAAACTAATACTACGTACTACGTATGTGCAAGACATGATGTAATATAACAAAAAAGAGCATGCTATAGAGGAAAACATGCACTTAATTAAAATCAAACCACACCTCACTGATTTGAAGAGTACAATTTCAGAGGTTTTCGACTCATTTTACTAACTCAAAAAGTCTCATCAACCATCTTTCGAAAAATCAATGCCAGCCTTCTCGTATGTACAAATCTTGAAATTAGCGGTATTTGAGCATGCTTCTTTTAGAAATAACTACAATTAACTTAGTGTTTGAACCTTTTAAGAAATCGACAATAGCCTTTTCGTAACTACAAATTTAAAAATTAGTGGTAATTGACCCTTCATTTGACTTATAAACAACAAATTACAGATTATTAAAGAAAGGGAAAATCGCACTTTTGGTCCCTGAAATAGTCACGAAAATGAAATGTTGGACCCGTATTTCTGATATTGTAAATGTCACCCCTCAATTGTTCAAATTGTTGTAAATGTAGTCCTTTAAGGGTGAAGTGTACTCTCGCCCATATTGGATATTTCACACATCAAAGGACCACATTTACAGCATTTAGGACAATTGAGGGACGACATTTATAAACTTGGGAATACGGGTCCGACATTTCATTTTCGTTACTATTTCAGGGACTAAAAGTGCGATTTTCCCTTAATGAAAATATTAACCAACCACTCTAAATCCAAAAAAGCAACTTTAAATCCAAAAATCCAAAAAAGCAAATTATGGACAACAGATTACAAATTACGTAACAAATGATGCTCACATGGAAGTTATTGTTATCATTTATCATTAAAACGTACAACACACACCTCAGTTTGATAAACCATTAAACCGCTCCTTGATCCAACTTCCTCATGCTTATTATATGCATTGGTGATCTATGTAAACAAGCACACAAAAACAAAGAATTTACAACCCACCCCAAAAAAATCATGTACCTCATTTCGGGATGATCGAAATACGACATACAATTGAAGCTTACAATAAAGTTGTCACTATCTCACCTCAATCTGATAAGTCCACTTGGAAACTTCACCTAAACAAATAATGAAAAATTGAAATAAAGTCAATTTATAAATAAATAAATGAATCTATAAATATATAAATGAATAAATAATGAATGTTGATTATTTATTCATTTATATTTTATTCATTTATGTATTTATTTATTCATTCATTTATACTTATTTATTAATTTGATTATTTTCATGTATAAATCTAATATAAAATATTCTACAATTCTTTAGCTCAAATCCGAGCACCTTATTTGTACTCGAACAGATAAAAATTAATTTGTGAAATTTGAACCGAACCCAAGCCTTACTCGAGTCGAGCTCGAGCTCAGTTGAGACTGTTTAAAGAACTTTTCCTAAATAAACTTTTAAAACTTTTTTACGTTAAGAATATAATGTTTTTTAATAATTTTTGTGTTGAGTTATTATAACTTTTTTAATTACATATCTTATACTATGATAAAAAAAATAGTTATCTTATACCACATACGAGTATATGTTAAAATCTATAGTATGGTGTATGTTAAATATTTTTAAATGAGAACACGAACCAAATGAGAATAGTAGCCCAGAGGTTCTTGCCTTCATATACAAATGAGAGGGTGTGGGTTTGACTCTCACCAGTGAAATATTTTTTACTAAGAGCTTCACCAATGGGACACTTTCTAGTCTAAATAAAAAGTGCCAAATGTCAAATAATTAAAGGACTTTCTAATACACAAATTATATAGTGAGATGACCGGATATTGAACTATCAAAGAAGCATCCAATGCAAAAGTCTTACGGCCCATGTCAAGTACGGATGTCAAATTGTTTTTTATTAAAATACAAGTAAATTATACTATTGAGGTAGTATAAATTTTCTTTAAAAAAGCTTTGCCCTACCATACCTGAATTCTCATTCCCCTTCCAGTAATTTGCTGGTTTGGTCTGGTAAGGTCTGGATTCTTTGTATTTTTATAACTATCCAAGTCTAGTCTGGTCTGGTCTGAATCGGTCTCGTCTGGTCTGATTTGGTCTGGACTGATCTGGTCTGGGACAAATTACAGTCTAAGTAAAAACATCCTAAAAAAAAATCTTAACAAAAAACCATGACTTCATCCAAAAAAAAAACCATGACTTTCAAAATCCGTTGGTGAACAAAAAACCAAGACTTTCAGAATTATCATCCCCAGTATATAAGGTTATGTAGAAGACCAGCGTGTTCTTCTTCCATACTGAACTCCTGCGCAACTGAAAAAAACGCCGACGTGGTTTGGGTTTTTGAAAACAAAAAGTTATGCCGGAAAGATATCCGGGTGTTGTGGTTTGGTGAAAGAGACGGCAAAGGCATAAAAACTATAGAGCACTTCGGTAAAATTGTTTTTTTTTTAATTTATTTAATCCAGTCAGCAAGTGAAAGAGGCTTTCTACACTTGCACTATTTATCTTCACACCGTTCAACTTTTTTTTCCCAAGTCATCACAAAACTATGTGCATTGGGATTCTTCTTGTTGTACCCACTATTGTACTCACTTTGTACCCACCATGTTTTCATAGACATATTTTTGTCTATGACCGGAATTCACAGACAAAAAAAAACTACTCACAGACATGGTGGGTACAAAAATGGATACAATAGTGGGTACAAACAAATTTTTCCATGTGCATTGGAGTTGAAATTTAACATTTAGTGTATCAAGTGATGAAATGGCACACATTATCTTCACTAGACATGATAGCATTGTGGTTGCTCTAAGCAAAACACACTCAGATTTGATGACATGGAATGATAAGCAACGTGTGGCATGAGTGACATGGCAAAAAATACCCTAATTTGGGAAATAAGTTTAAGAATAACCTAACGCCAGCTCATTATTAATAGCTCACATCGGGCTCTTAATAAGAGGATATTATGATCTATTAAATGTTTTTATAAGGAAAATTTGAGTTTGCACCCCATTTCATTGTCCAAATTTAATTTTGCACCCCATTTTTAAAGAGTTTTGCTTTTTCACCCCAACCCATATGAAAAAGACAAAAATGCCCCTCCATTAACAATTTTGTTGAACACATATTCCTGATTGAGAGCATTTTTGTCTTTTAAAAATGGGTTGGGGTGCAAAAACAAAGTTTTTTAAAAATGAGGTGCGAATCCAATTTGGACAATAAAATGGGATGCAAACTCAAATTACCCCTTTAATATAATAGTGATAATGAATTTTTGTTAACCAATAAAAGAGTGACATGTCACCAATTTATAATTATGTTTTAGTGTGTAATCTACTTATTTTTACTCCATATTTAAAAGGCGTTTCTTTTTATTTTAACGGATAAACACACTAGAGCATTTGCGAAGAGCGGACATCCCATATCCTCAACAGAGCAACAATGGCGATTTCATCTCCATATCTCTTCCCAATATGCAATTTCTCCGCCATTGCAGCTAAACCAAAACTCTCTTTTCTTTCTATGCCATCAAATTCTTGTAAGTTCCAGCCCATCAAACCCTTCCAACTCTCGACATCAAGAATCCTTGCTGCCGCTGATGTCTTGGACTCCTCCGCTACTGATACCGAGGTCTATGTCTATTTGGTTAAACTCAGTTTCAAATTTTTAGTGGAAATAATTTTTAAAAATGCTTTCTTCTTTTGGTGTTCATTTTGGGGTGTTTTGCATTTTGTGGTCTCTCAGGACGAATTTTCTGCTACTTCATTACCAGATGTCAGCTTTGACTCTGATAAGGTAAATTTCATTTTTTATTTCTATCTGGTATTATCCATCTTTGATGTTTTCTTATTTGCTTCCGCCCAGGGGATTAGTTTCTGTTGGGGACTAAATATTTCCAACAGTTTCAAATGTGGCTAACTTTCTTGAGGAAATGAATTTCCATATTGCAAAAAAAATGTGTTCAACTTTTTGTTGTTATCATTATGCGTTGATTTTTTTCATTAATAAACTTAATGAAAAAAATAAGCTTAACCTCTTACGTCCTACCAAATATGTACCTCTCATCCAAAGGATTAAATTAATTAATTGCTTTTTTGGTATGTGGAAAGGAATAAAGTAGGAATGGAATTTAAACTCTTTGGTAGAAGAATATGTAGGGACTTGTCAAAAAAAATAAAATATGTAGGGAATCAAGAAGGAATAAAAATAAAGTAGTTTGTTTTATTGGAATGAAATTACTTGGAGTAGTTGAGGAAGAAAGGAAAATGACTAAATCACTATCTTCCTTTTCTCACCTTACATGTCTAATAGAACAAGTGTTACAAGGTTAAGGCTGTCCAATAAAGAAATTTGTAATTTGTATGAGGAAAACATGATAGCTTAGAAAATGGTTTCCGCTATTGTAGGAAATTGAATCTGGGAAGATAATTTTCCCATGCAATAAGCACAAGGAAGAGTTGACAGAGGGGGAATCACTAAGGAAAGGAAAATGAAACATAGCTATGATAAGTTGATAATACTTCATAAATAGTAAAGATGTAATGACAAATATATGGTTAAATATAAATAATACTCCCTCCGTCCCGCTAAGATTGTCCCATTTTACCTTTTCGGGAAGTCCCACTAAGATTGTCTCATACCATATTTGGTAAAGATTGTGTGGTTCTAAATCATTCTAACTTTATTCTTACTTTATCAATTTAATATCAACCACACAAACCTACTTTTCTTAATGATCGTGCCACCTTTTCTCGTCCCAATCTTAGTGGGACGGAGGTAGTAGATAAAAAGTCACTTTTAATGCACATTACCATGGTGATATTCCTTTTTAATGCATATTGACCATGGGGGTGTTTTTGTAGTGACCAGGTGACAGTGCAATCATATATTTTCATGAGTATTGTTTGTGTAATATTATAGGAAAACCCCCGATAGTAAATTCAAAAAATAGCATTGTTTCCTAAGGTTAACTTCATGATTCATGTTTTAGTAAATAAGTATAAAATGCAGGGTGTAAAGGTGTCATTTGATAAATAGTAAGCAACCAGCTGCCTAACCAGCTACCTATGATCAAAATTACTGCTTCTAGCGCTGCTTAGTGGACTCTTACAGCAATAGATCTAAATATCACATGGAGTATTCTTGTCTACGTGCTGTTGTTCTCTGAATATATTCAGGAACTGTATGCTTTTGGTTGATTTATTTTATTGCATAGTGTTTGTTTGCAAATGTATACCTAGGCTTTACATTGTTTTGCATGAAATTTTTACCCATACTGTATAACTAAAGTGTTTAAAGTGGATTGGATGTGGTGTGATCTGCATTGCTTGAAGTGAGTGAGGAACTGAGATAGTGAGATTCCCATTTACTGTGGTTGGCATTTTCCTGAGCTGTAAAGGAAGTTGCAGTGGGCTGGTGAAGTACAAATTCAACTGTATGTGTGTGCGCACGCACACACACTTTAGTTTGGACTAAAATTTTGTTTTATCCAAGAAATAATTTTTTTAGTGGGAGGTGTGCATAAAAGATATATACACTACAGCCGACTTTTTTGCAAGTTTCAGCTCTATTGTTGTTCGTTATTCCTGTTTGACTTAATCACAGTATAGACACATGAGGCTTTATGACCTTGCATTGATGTACGATCTGTACATTTGCAATTAACCATGCAATCAGTGATTATTGTTCAAGTTTTGGAGTCACAGCTGACCCACTGGAAGTTATAGATGTTATTTACCTAAGAACATCTAAATAAAAATATGCCACTCCATAGTAAATACACAAGAAAGAGTTTTTGTGTGTGATATATGGGCATGTGGCCATATTTAATTTCTTTTGTTGCAGAAACATTTAGTGCCGTAGTTTTTTAGTTTCAACCATGTTTTACTAGTATAGTATGGAGAGATTTATTTGCAGACCCCTTATTGTGCTAGAGTTAAAGGGGAAGGAACAATAACAAGTTAGATTGTGATTTGTGAGTTAGATTGAGAAGGTGAAAATCAATCAGTAATACTCAGAAAGAAATGGAAAGATAACAAATGGTACTCAAGAGGATATTCTCCAGCGAAAGTGAGTTAAAACATGTCCCTACTGCAAGACCTAGTTATATTCTTATTGCAATTTACTAACACTCGCATTGTGGGAGATCTGCCAACAGTAACTTATCAAATATTGCACCTGTTATTATTTGTCATTTTCTGGTTTCCTGCTTATGATTTTGTCCTGCCCATGTGGTGGCTGTGTGATTGTTTGACATCCACTCTTTGTAATTGTTGCATGTAGTATGTATTCTGATTAAGTGATGATAGCAGTTGGAAAACAAAAAAACACTTTTGAAGAACATTACACGCCTTGGATGGATTCTTCTTTACCATCTTCCAACCAGGACTGAAGCTAGATGTGAGGCTGGGATTAAGTTGTATTCTTAGTGTGATATATTTTGATATAATCTGTTAAACTTGGGTTACTCCCTTGTCCCTCTAGTAAGTTTTTAGTATGGAAGCTCAAGTCCGAATTTGGTATTTTATAGCCTATTACGTTCAAATGAATAATTCAGTCCGATAACCCAAAAGGAGCACATATATGATCTTGAGATACTCCAAGGACAATGTATGATATATCTCACTCTCTTTATTATTACTATTGTTGTTGTTGTTGCCGTTAATTGATTATGCCATCAAACTTAATAGTGGTAATGGAGAATCTATGTACTCAGGTGGCACCAAAACAGAAGATTAGGATCAAATTGAAATCATACTGGGTGCCTTTGATAGAAGACTCTTGCAAGCAGATAATGGATGCTGCGAGGACAACGAATGCAAAGACCATGGGTCCCATACCGCTGCCGACCAAGAAGAGAGTACATTGTGTGCTTAAATCCCCACATGTGCACAAAGATGCCAGGTTCCATTTTGAGATTAGAACACATCAGCGCCTCATTGACATTCTTTACCCAACTGCCCAAACGATTGACTCCTTGATGCAGCTAGACCTTCCTGCTGGAGTTGATGTGGAGGTCAAGCTATGAAAAATTCAGGGTCTCTCCTTCGTTAACTCATCAGTAACCTTATTATTTCTTTACAGTTCTGCTTTTTGAAATCTGAATAGAATCAGTGCTGAACAAACATCTACTTGCCGGAGGAAATGATTGACACAATCTTTTTGTCAAAGTTTGAATGTCATCTATCATTCATCATTGTGCACTATAGAGTGTTTCTCCTTTTCATAAATATACTTCCTCTGTTCGATTTTAAATGCAACCCTTCAAATTGGCACAAAGTTTAAGAAATCGATATACAACTTTTTTCTTCCTGTTTTGCTCCATGTTCATCTTTCGCCATTGACGCTTAGTATTCTCTCTCTCATGCGTCTTCCATCAACTAACATCTCTGCATAGTATTGCTCGTCTAAGTGGTTTTATCTCTCTTAGATTTATTTAAATCCATTATTGGAGTCTACCCAAGACTTGCTCATTACTTATTCTTTACAGTCCTATCGGATCATGACGGTAGTACAGAGAAACAGATTTGCATCGTCGCAATTTAGGATTTCTAGCTTGAACTCCAAATTAAATTAAACAAAAGAGAAAAAACTAGAAGGTGATGAAAGAGGGGGGAAATGAAAAGCTGAGAAAAAAGTTTGATGAGAAGGCCTGGAGATTGGGAAAGGGAAGAAATGGACAAAGATGAAGGGTGGCCGGAGGGGTGGAAACTGGAAAGGGTAGGGCGGTGGGGAATATGGGTGCAGAGTGCAGAAAATGGACTTACAGAGTTTAAGGGTCTGATTGTCATTCTGGTTATTTGCTATTACCAAAAAAGGAAGTGATACAATTGTTTTGAAATTGCCAAAAAAGGAAAGTGTTGCAATTATTTAAGAAGGGAAAGGGGCAAATAAGGCCACGTATTAACCAAAAAAGGTCAAATAAGGCCTTATTTGTGAGGCTCTGTCCGCCCTTCGCCATTTGGGGTAGTTCTTGGTGGAATTTTTTTATTATTTTTTTGAGCATGTTATTCATTAAGTCTAGTTTACTCATACCAAATTTCAGCTAACAATTCAATTGGGAAGACATTCAAATGAATTCTTGAAGATAATTGCGCTTTTAACTGCACAGTTATCTTCAAAAATTCATTTGAATGCCTTCCCGATTGAAGTTTTAGCTGAAATTTGGTATGAGTAAACTAGATTCACTGAATAAGTTGCTCAAAAAATTTCATCAAAAAATTCCTCCAGAAACCACTCCAAATGGCGAAGGCCGGACAGAGCTTGTTAAATAAGGCCTTATTTGACCCTTTTTGGTTAGTATGTGGCCTTATTTGCCTCTTTTCTCATTTAAGAATGAAGAAAGTATATAATTACTTCTAACTCAACTCCAACTTCCTCTGCCAGGCCTTCGTGACTTTGTGTTTGCCTTTCTTACTTAGCCTGAATCCTGAATATGTTGCTCATGTTTTTTTTTCATTTTTACATGTGATTGGACGAAAGTAGAGAAGGGCAACCAAGTTAAATTTAAAGTGCCTTAAATTATAGTGTGATAACTCTGTATTTTTTCTCAAAAATATTCTTTGTATCCATTCAATTTGACCCAATGCCCTGACTCCGTCCCTGTGATCTAGTTCGAATGCTGCCCACAACCTCCAACAGCCACCAATGACGATGTCCACAGCACCAGCTACCATTGACATCGGTTGCCATTCTCGCCGACTGCAACCACTCCCGGTTGGCCGGTTGCCACCAATGTCAGTATCACTAGAGTGTCGGTATCTTCTGCCACCATCATTGGTCGCTAACATCATCAACAACCAATGGTGGCCGGCACCATTGCTGCCTGCAGCATGTGTCACATAACATAATTTACGTTGGCCGATAACATGTAAAATTACTTTATACTCCCTCCGGTTTTTAATAAACTTCACACTTTCCTTTTTGGGACGGTCTAAAATAAACTTCACACTTCCTTATTTCCTTTTTTGGCAAAGAAATCTACATCAAAACAGTGTCAAACAGTGTCTTAACAGTGCCAAACAGTGTCAAACAGTGTCTCAACAGTGTACTCTACAGTAAAGTCAAATGTCTTTCCTTATTTTGTGTGAAGTCAAACTGTGAAGATTAAAAAAAAATTCAACTTTCTCTACTAGTGTAATTCTCTCGAATCTGAGATAGGACGTGACTTTAAAATAATTTGTTGTGTACTTTTTAATCTCATACTTCAAAACATTTTTATTCCAAAAATTATAATAACGTTAATCCTCGAGAAAAGGGACAAATAAGGTCACGTACTAAACAAAAAAGGTCAAATAAGGCCTTATTTAAGAGGATCTGTCCGGCCATCACCATTTGGGGTGGTTCCCGGTGGAATTTTTTAATCAAAGTTTTTGAGCATCTTATTCATTAAGTCTAGTTTACTCATACCAAATTTCAGCTAACAATTCAATCGGGAAGGCATTCAAATGAATTCTTGAAGATAACTGTGCAGTTATCTTCAAAAATTCATTAGAATGCCTTCCCGATTGAAGTTTTAGCTAAAATTTGGTATGAGTAAACTAGACTTAATGAATAAGATGGTAAAAAAATTCATTAAAAAATTCCACCTAGAACCACCCCAAATGGCGAAGGCCGGACAGAACCTCATAAATAAGGCTTTATTTGATTTTTTTGTTATTACGTGGCCTTATTTGCCCATTTTCCCTTAATCCTCTTGTTACTGTTGAATACGTATATGTTTACTTTTTCGCTAAATCATCTATACTGATAGAAGGCCTCGTGCTTGACTTGTATCCTCCCTCCCATAGTCCCATCCCAGACCTCCAAATTATCGTAATGAAAGCAAAAGTTGAACAACATGTGATAATAAGAGGATACTTTAAATTACATATGATAATAAGAGGATACTTTAAATTTAAATCAAATTATGTTTCTCATATACGGGAGACTGGAAACAATAAACTATATATTGACAAAGTTGAATTGGATGGATACAATTAATCATAATATATAGGAAACATTCCCAAGATATGACTAAAACATATTGAGTTTCTCAGAATATGACTAGCTTTGTTTTTTTTCCGAAATATGACTAAAAATAAAAAATAAAAAAGAAATTTTGTTATATTACAATGTGGAAGGTCGAAAATGCCCTTATTTAAAAAAAATACATTTTGCACTAATTTCATCCGTGTAAAAATATTGCACTTTATGAATGCGTTATAGCACAACATTTACTGCACTTTATGACAGAATTCACTGCACGACATATAATGCACTTCATGCACTTAAGTTATGGCACTTCGGTTTGTTGTTTTTTAGTTTTGATAATTTTAGTTTTTACGATTAATTAAATATAATGCACTCCATGCAAGAGTTATGGCATGCCATTACAAAAATGTTTGCGTTTTATAATTCTTTTTTTTTCTTTTTGCATTACAAAAATGTTTGCACTAATTTTTGCCATTATCAAGATTTGATGATTGCACTTTATATCAATGTTAATGGTTTACATTATTGCAATTTTTGTCACAATCACTTATATATTGTCAATTCATTGCACTTCTTTGTCATAATCATTGCATTTCTTTTGATATTCACGACATTACATGCAAAATATTCAGTGCACATTTTCTTCAATCATCTTCAACCCAAGGTTCTTAATAGCTTGTACATGTTCATAGATGAGAAATCCTTCCACATCCCACCACGGGCCATTATGCATTGGATCACATCAAAAATCAATGAGTAGATTGAAGATTGCCACATCAGTCCGATCCAAAACTCGATCTCCATGTTCACTCCGGCCAAGTCAGGCTTCAATATCTCACCGGATTATGATTATCAATCACAATTCAAAGAGATTTATAAGTGAGATCTACGATCGATCTTAATTACGAACCTGAAATTCAAAACCAACAACCGCAGGTGAGCGTGCGGTTGGATTGCGGCGGCAGGCGGCTATGCGGTTGCGCGGCAGTGGCAGGTGGTCGTGACTCATGCGGCGGTGCGGCAGCAGCAGGTGGCCGTGTGGAGGGATGGCAGCGGCTGGCGTGGGTCGCTAGAGGTCAGGTTAGGGTTGGAAAAAAAGAATAGAAAGTTAGGGTTTTATAGGCATAACCTAAAAGGTATATTAGTCCATGAAAAATATTTATCTATTTATTTATTTATTTATTTATTTATTTATTTATTTATTACGAAATTAATAAAATATTATTAATTTAAATATTATTTTGAGAAAAAACTAGTTAGGTCATAGATTGGGAAAGTGAACTAATTTTGGTCATATATAGGATAATTATTTCTAATATATACTCGTACAACAGGATATACTTAACTAACTTAAGCATCCCTTTTCGCCTTAGAATCTGTGAATTCGTGTTACAATCAAGTTTGCTACGTACCAAGTGCAACATCATTCCTCTAGAGCATCTTAGAGCATCTTCTATTCTAAAACGTGAACGGTGCATACGTGGCATGAGAGATAGCCAATAAAAAAATAATAAATTGAATATCTCTCTCCATATTTGGAGGATCATATATTATTTTGATAAGTTTTTCTTCACAATGTCAAACATAATGTCTAAATGTAGACATTGTGCTTGACATTGCAGAGGAAAACTTACCCAAAAGACATAAAACCGTGGAAAGAATGAGAGAGAAATGTTATAAATTCAATTTTTTGTGTCTATCTCTCTCATGCCACATGTGCACCGTGCACATTATAACATTGGAGATGCTCTTAGCTACTCGCCTCTATAACTCTGTTAAAGAAACCCGATCGGGAGGCAGCTCGGCCGCGTGACCGGGTCACGGGTCAACCTGGACCTGATCAGGTCAACCCTGTCAACGCTATAAAACCGGTCAACCATATAACAATAATAAATATATAATTGTATACAAAATTGAAATAAAAGGTAGTTATTTCATAATAATCAACTAATGATAATACTTACTAAACATTTAAAAGTTAATCTGAAATAGTGTCATAAAATTCCAAAATATCATTTCGATTTTATTAAAATATACTACGGTATAATGATATTCCATATTTGTTATTTGAGTAAATGGTCAGTTTGGTTCTCGAAATTGCATAAAAGGGATCAAATAAGTCCTTATATAGAAGATTCTATCCGGACGTGCCATTTGAGGCGGTTCCCGGTGGAATTTTTTGATAAATTTTTTTGAACATCTTATTCATTAAGTCAAGTTTACTCATACCAAATTTTAGCTAAAAATTCAATCGGGAAGGCATTCAAATGAATTCTTGAAGATAACTGCACTTTTAACTGC